GACAACTGATGGGTGGACCGAAGCCGGTGCAATGCGCTTAGTTGTCTCGCTAGAAAGCCCTACATATCTTGATCTGTCACATATTTCTATATTTATTCCTAATTTATCACATAATTTGCCTCAAGCATCTATCACTTCTGTTCTCCTTCAGGCTTCATTTGTTATCTATTTCGGCTTTTATGCAATGTTATAGGTCTTCAGAGGAACGGTGAGCTATGGGCAAAAGTCTGACTGCACGCGGGACTCGAACCCACACACCCTCATGGCCTTTATGCCATAGCCTCGAAGGATCTGAGGCCTTACTTCCATTTTGATATTAAGCTATGAATTACATCTGCTCAGAGGCACTTGGTATGGAACCCATGGGATCAGGTCATCTTCGATCAGTTCAGGATGTAGGTATGCACAGTCCTCTTTGCTGCGGCCACTGAGTGAAGTGGGACATCTGAGGGAAGTGCGCCGCAAGCCTCTTCCCCACAATTCGTAGTCGTCTGCCAGCTGGCACAAAGCTAGCGTCGCGTCAAACCCAGCCCCTCCCCTCCCCTAAAACGCTCCATGGAATGGACAATCGCATATCAAATAATACCGACCTTGATGGAAAGAAGACGTTGGACTGGCTGAAGCTTCGTACCACACTCATCTACAGCGCCAAAACGTATCGCCCGACGTTTTCCCCCTGAATGGAACACCCCCACAGGTCTACCGGATGTGGCTCAGAACATCCTAGGCGCGAGCAGACTAGCGCAGTAGGTATTTACCTAACTCGTCAAACTGATATGCGGGGATATTGCGACCTTGAGTTAGCCAGATCCTAGTGCTAATGGCGCGCTCCTGACACCTTTCGAAAGGCTTACGTAGTCATCTTGGGTGAACTTGAATGTGCCGAACCACTGGACCGGCTTGTCCCGGCTTAGAGCAACGCTGCCCATTCAGGTGAATGCATCATATCGTATGAAGCGCACTTGAATGCCTTCAAAATCCTTTGCGGAGTGGCATCAGAAATCTCTTTTCGGGAGTGCGCCAGGCATTTGGCTTCCACTCAGGATCGCTGTCACACTTTGACGTCTGCTGTAGTCAGCAAAAGTATACATCCGGTTGAATATTTATTTGTCTTCAAACTTCACACGAGGTTGTTAAGCACAGTAGTAGGCTAACGTTTCGGCACGATTGCCTTCTTCGGAGCCTGGAAGTGGAAACCAATTTATGATTAAAAACGTTAGCCTACTACTGTGCTTAACAACCTCGTGTGAAGTTTGAAGACAAATAAATATTCAACTACTATGCCGAGGTTTATCGAGAACCGGACATGGCGGTATACATCCGGTATTTCATCCTCCATGCAAGTTCGGTAGTTGACCCGAAATGAAGCCTGATTTACTCAAACGAGATTCAAATCAAAGGATTTTGGTGTTCCAAGGAACAACTGGCTCGCAGGACCACATTTACCCACCCAAAGTGTCGTCCACATGGTGGGGCGAAAAGGTACCGGACGCTGACTGCTCGTGCGCCTGTCCTCACCTTTATACATACGTCTAGGGCTCTCTTTCACCTGGAATCCTCACAGCTCTCGCAGCTACCCCCCCCCCTTGTGTGTCCTCAGAGCTGGGCTGCACACGTAGGTTACCCAATCTGACAGAAAAGAGGGGCAGGTTTGTATCCTGCTATCACAAAGTGATGTCGCATAAACATATTTTTGACAAGTTTTATCATGTAAAGTTCTGGCACAACTTACTTTCGGACAGTTCATGAGATCCACTTTGCGGCCTTGCGCTCAAACTAGCACTGTATTTCTTAGCTAGTTGACTCGACATCACCGCAAAGTAGAAGTCCTGGACATCACTCTTTTCGTTCGGACCATAGGCAACACTTATTCAGCACTGAATGTGCCTTTGCGAGTAGAACATTTCCGAAAAGCTACTTTCACTTGGTAGTAATGTCTATCTCTTCTGTCTGTTTCTTTACCGCGTTCTTGGATAAATTCTTGTTACATTGTACCTGAAAATACTATTCGACTTTCTGATAGACGGTTGGTTCTTTTGAAGACCACACAGACGCACACACACACACACACACACCCCATTGCTGTAAAACATACTGCATGAATATAGCCCTTATTGAACGAGGATTTTGATTACAGACAAACTCCGCAACTGCAACTCGTGCGTAATAAAGTCCAAATGTGAATTATGTAGTAGACGCTACTAGAATTACCTGTGGGGGGAAAAAGCAGACAAAACCACCGGCAACCACGTTCTAAAGGCAATACCTGCAATCATTCGTCATCACAGATAGAAGACTAGGGGTTTGCATATAGACGACAAGGTTCTGAGTAACTCGATAGTGAAGAAAAAAGCAGGAAAAAACATGCCAACTGCCCTAGATAGAACCCCATTACGATACCAGTTCATACGTGCCCAACGGACTCCATCTCCAACACTACCCCTCATCCGCTCGGCTGATTCTTCGCTGATCCGGTGCAAGGTTATTCGTCGCGGACCACACTACCCTCCCGACATATTTTCATCTTCCACTCCACAGCCCTGCCCACTTCACGGCAACCCGCCCACTTTTGAAAAATGGTCCAGATCGGCAAGGTAGAGCCCGATTTGGCAGGTGGGTCTCCCCTGTCACCAGGAACGAAAAACCAGGGAAACTTTGATCGCTGGAACGCACGGCCGAAGTGCTGCCGCGGCGAAGTCTGCATACTGTGTTCATACTTTACGTCAGCGTTCTGAGCGAACAGTAGCGTTGTCCGTGACTAGGAAAGTATCGGTGTTAGTTTAGCACTCCGAGTGTACGCCAGCGATTTCAGCGACTAGACGCGCAGCGCTTAAAACGCTGAAAAGATATTTATGCGTTTCTAGTAACTGGAAACGCCGGACTAGGCTCAAAACGCTGACGTAACTTATAAACGCAGCCTAACTGAAATACCTACAGTCTGCCATTTCCATTCAGAACTACAAAGCTATAGAAACAATTTTATGAAGGTACGGAGGTACATAAACATGTTACTAGGAACAAATACTCGGAAATCTGCAAAGAAAAATGAAAAGAATGCTTCAACGATATGGACTCATGGAGGTTACCTACTGCAAAATAAAAACAAAAAAATAACGATTAACAAGGGATAATGAAGACTTCAAGACAACAAGTACAACAACAAAAACAATATATATGGGAATAAAATATCTGGGTTATATCTGGGTTATATCTGGATTGAAAAGGAGAACTACTTAACTAATTTTGAATCTAACTATTTTGTATCTGCAGTACAATACACACACATGCATTACATAGAACTTCTAGTCATAGTGATTATCACGAAATGCTGAAAAGTCAAAAGATAAAGCACTATAAGCCAAATGCATATCACCGGATGAGTTATAGACAGGGTACAGCATCGTGATGTGTGGAATGGTTTTGAAGGTACCACCCCTCCCCCCTCCACCTAAATGAGGGTCTTGGTACGAACCCCTCAACACTCACCTACCAATTTCTCTCATTTCCCAGCCCACTTTTTCACCCAAAAATTCACTGTAGAGTGGGCGGGTGGGCAGGCGGTTGGGAGGGGGTAGATAGCACACATGAAACAGGAAAAATCACGCGAAAAGTCAACAACCAGGAAAAAATTTTCCCAACGCAGCAAATTTCTCTTAAAGGCACATACGACCCCCCCTCTCCCAACGACCAAATACGACCCCCCCCCCTTATGTGTTTGACACAACGATGCTGTACCCTGGTTATAGAGTACGAGACTGAGCAAATCAATGGTTAGGAGAGTAAGCAGTATATTTCAAGATTTTCGAGTGAAGTAGCATATTAAGATTCCTGAGTTGAGCCAGAAACTTTAGAAGGTGCTAGCAAACCTGCCATGCTTGTATAATCACGTATGCTCATTCTGTGATATTTAGAAAGATGAACAGCAAATCGAGCTCTCGCCGCAAACGACATGTCGCATGAATTGCAGCGATACGGTGTTATTCCTAAAATATCACATTGCTGTTTAAGAGCTTGGAAAATAGTTGGTGCCTCAATACAGGCATACTTTCCGAAAAACAGAAGAAACATGAGGCAGACATTGTTTTCTCCCATAAGCTCTGTTTACCCTATAAGTTCATATCACTATAGTGTGATATATAAGTCCACTCCTGACAGAGTGAGGTTCAGTTTTATGGAATTTGCGGTTGTATTCTCTATGTTACGACAATAAAGAAGCTATGCTACCCGTCGTGGACCACAAGCTTCACAGCAGACATCGTGTTGCAGCAAGTGACACGCTTAACACACCCGATTATCAAATCCCGAGTCGGCTTTCGCTGTCCTTTTACTTTTTATAAAGAAACATACCTTTGTGGTAATTCATGTGATCCTCTAGTAGACCAGGAGTAGTGAAAGCCTTTTCACACCCTTCCCAACTGCATACATTCTTCCTCGTCCTTCTATATTGAGAGTACGCTTTGTCGTGTACCTAAAACCGCATCCTTTGCATATTGAAGGGAGGGAAGTATCACAGGAAAAGGAAAGTAACAATTGGTCATATTATATTACTAGGTATATTGGATTACTAGCTGCTACAGATCATGAGAAAAGTCCACCGGAACCCTGGGATAAAATGTCCGTGACACACTCATACTGGACACAACCCTTCATCCGCAGCGAACAAGAATATACAGCTGATATCGCAGAATCAGGCGGAGCGGTGTTAGAAGACGCGGTTGAACCCACCCACAGCGTCTTCAATCACTGGTTGTTTCCTGCAAATACGATACTAACCGGTCACTATTGGTAGCGCCGCGAAGAGAGGAGGTGAGGCAGTACTTCCCACCCCTCATGACACCGCCCCGACTGATTGCGACGGTATCAATCATATTACAGATTACAAGAAAAACTATTGGAACCATCAGAGCAACACGTTTTTGTGTCACGTGAGTCGAGCACACATATCATTCCATATGCAAACATATCATCAATTGTCCCAAGTTTCTTAACCCCTCTTGGTCAAAAATTTTGCTGGCGCTTTTCCATTCACTTCCCTTCACGGCGATGCTAAAGAAAAAGCACGACAAGCAGCCTTCAGTCAGCAGAGTATGTTGGATAAGGGAAAGCATGAAGTTTCAATTCCCGTAAAGCAGACTGCGTTTTTTTTTCGTTTTGAGGTGGTCTTGGACTTCCGGAAAAAGGAAGCCTATTTTCTCAGGGCACACCACTGAATAAGTGGTATAGGGATACTGAGTGGAAGAGGCATCCCCCACCCCTCAGAATTGCTCAGAAGCTCAGAAGAAGAAACTCGCATCTTTTCTTCACTGCGCGGATTTCGACGAACTCGTTGTGGTGGCAAATCGCCTATATCCACCAGCTCACGGTACACGTCGGCTGACTTCCATCCAGCGGGAAAAATATTGTTCCCCCAGATATTTAGCCAGGCCCGATAGCTACTCTTTTTTCCTGATATTGTAGCAGGACCGCATACAGTCAAGTAGTCATAAAATCCTGCTGTTATTCGAACTGATGCACTTTCCGCTTACACGTTGACCGCTGCGAATTCTAGAAAAGATGTTGTGAAACTAACTGGACACAGACTATCCCATCCGACCGCCTCTCACATCTGACACTGTTTTTTGTCATTTTAAAAATCAGTAACGTATTACTTACACTACGTATGTGCCTCTTCAAAAGATATGGATTCCGATAGTATTTTCCACACAGAGCGCACTGCATACCTAAAGACGAAAGAGAATTATATACGAAATACTACACATTCCTTTACGGATCATACTATTAGGTTGTCCGGAAAGTTCTCAGCGTTGTGTTACTATTTTTTGTACATTCATTGCTGATTAAAAACTCATTCTCCCTTGCGTCTCAGTAGTACATCCTGAAGAGAATTTTTGCGCTATCTGATGGTATAATTGCCGTTTCACCATTGCTTGATAAACCCCTTTTCCCAAGACTTTTTGAAGCATGTCAAAAGAGCAACTTCGGACGATATTTTTCTTCAACTAAAATTGGTCAATCCGCAGTCGAGACAGCTCGACAAATTAACCAGGTGTGGGGGCCCAATAGTGTTGGAGAAAGCACCGTGCGACAATGGTTCGACAAATTTCGTTCTGGAGATTTCAGCCTTGAAGATGAACCTCGTAGCGGTCGACCTAAAGCAATATCTGACGAGGATTTTAAGGGGATTTTGGAGGCTGACCCATCCCAAACAGTTCGAGAGATTGCAGAAAAGCTAGGCGTTGGCAAATCCACTGTTGCGGATGGTCTGAAACGCATTGGGAAGGTGAAAAAACTCGACAAGTGGGTGCCCCACAATTTGAGTGACCGGCAGAAATTGGCACGTCTCGAGGTTTCTTCTTCACTGCTTTTGCGCAACAGAAACGACCCGTTTTTGGACCGAATTGTCACCTGTGATGAAAAGTGGATCATGTATGATAACAGGAGACGTTCCGGACAGTTGGATGCCGACGAACCACCGAGGCAATTTCCAAAGCCGAATCCTCACGAAAAAAAGATTATGGTCACAGTGTGGTGGTCATCGGCTGGTGTGATCCACTATAACTTTTTGTCACCAGGCCAAACCATCACAGCAGAGTCCTACTGTGAAGAAATCGACGAAATGTACCGAAAATTGCGTCAGCTGCAGCCAGCACTTGTCAACAGAAAGGGTCCGATTCTTGCATGACAACGCCCGCCCACACGTTTCACAAATCACTATCCATAAATTGAACGAATTGGGGGTTGAAGTTCTACCTCACCCGCCATATTCTCCAGACCTTTCACCAACCGACTATCACCTTTTCAAACATTTTCAGAACTTCCTTGCTGGAAAATACTTCATCAATCAGGACCAGGCAAAAAAGCCTTCGTGGATTTCGTGGATTCTCGACCACCCAGTTTTTTCTTTTGATGGGATTTATCGACTGCTGTCACATTGGCAAAAGTGTGCTGATTCGAACGGTGCTTATTTCGATTAAATCCGATGAGTATTAAGAAAGTTATGATCGTTTAAAGTGAAACACTCAAAACGCTGAGAACTTTCCGGACAACCTAATAAAAAGAACAAATAGTATCAGTCAATTCAGTATAATCAGTATCAGCATAAACAACTGACCAACACCATTCCCTTTCAGTTTTCCAAACGAAGGTTTCTCAGGGACATCAAGCTCATCGCAATCTGAAGGCAGATCGTCTGAATTGTTTGACGTTGACACACATTCTGATACCGATGCCGTTGTACAACTAGCCAACCGTCTGGTCACGGATACCGGCACTGAAGAGCCTGAAGGAAAATTCTCACTCCACTCATAAGATAAATGCTATAAAGACCAGACTCGCAACACATGCCTTCCTCACTAGGGACAAAATTGTGAATATCCAACATTATGCTGCCCGCGTTATCTGCAACCTTCCACAAATTCAAGAGGAAAGCTATACAGCCTCTGCCCACTTATCTGCGGCCCCTTGCCTTCTATGATGATTTATCAAGTTCTATCGGATGATGGAAAAAGAAATAACAGAAGGCGATGTTTTGTGGGTCAAAAGTCGTAGATTCAATAAACTCTATACGGATAGACCAATGACGTGAATGAAGTACCTATGCTCTATCTAAAGTGTGACTGAAAGCCAACTTACAACTCGTTTCCTCAAATTCTCGACCACTGGCGATTTCTTCGTGAGGACTACCGTCACATTCCCCGTGAACCGAACGCAAGTGATTATCCAGATCACCCAGCAAAATGTAAAGAGTGCAATCCGGCATTGGGCACAGTATTCCTCTTTCGTGAACACTGTAAACAATGTGAAAAATAGATGAAACAGTTACAAATGAAAATTCACCCACTTCATCAAATGTGCATTGAAATCTTCCAAATCATTCGTGATGAAGTCACAATGAGAGCATGTGAAGCATGAATCGTCTTCAGCCAAGGAAACCTTCGAATGCACGTCACGTGGACATGAGGACGGTATCCTTTCTGGGTGCATGGTTTGCAAGTGATGTCTGCAATGTCCAAATATTGAAAGGATAAGCTTCCCCTGGTAATAAGCCGTACCTTAAGCGCCTCCTTGCAACGCGCATATTGCAGCCGGCCACAGTACAAGCGACACCTTTTTCATGGTTAGAGACAGTATGCTTTCGAACTTCGGCAAGTATCTGAACTCAAGAGCTTTACCAGGAACAAACAGTCAGGCACAGCTCACGTCTGCGACCTTGAATAACCGGAAAACAGTCGAGGAGAAGTTCATTCGGACCAGAAAAATCGAAGAATGGAAGAAGGGGAATATTAAAGGCAGTGGGCACAATGGCAGACGTTATTGGCGCGAGGTATGGCCAAACACCCTCTCGCAGCTCTACCACCAATGACGCCAGCAATAACCGCTCGCCTCCAGCAGTCCTGCCCATTGCCTCTGAACTTTTGGCAAACCGGCGAAAAAATGCTAGATACGTATTCAGTTCGAATTCGGTTGGAATCGGAATATCGCTGATCAACTGTCTGAATCTCCAAATTCACAGACTGTGTGCCTTATTGACCTCGACATCAACAGGAAGAATTCTACTGACCTTGTTAGAAAACTGGCAATACTGACAACGATGAACTGTCGGGTGTTCTTTTGCGACATGCGCACGCAGTTCTGAGTATTCGTCGAACTTTTTCCCACATTTTGAGCACGAGTGTGAGCCTTAAGGAGAAAAGTATTAAAAAGGATAAAGTCTTCACCATAAATCAATCCCTTTGTGGGCTGCAGCACGCATTCTATTTCCATTCAAACCATAGTGGCTCACGTTGTGGCGGCCTAATACAATGGCTTGCAAGGGCCAGCCGATGAACCCGTCAGTGTTCTTATCCTCCCAGACGAATCCGGTACCTTTACAGCCCCCGGAGAGTAGAAGGGTTGGTTGGCCTAGATTCGACCCGAGATTTGAATAGAGGACCACGCGGGCAGTGAGTGTTCCGCTTGTCTTTACATAAACTCCGCTCAAAGAAGCAGAAACTACGAAAAAAAAGGATTATACTTCGATGCTAGAACCGCTGGGAGGACGGAAGACCGCGGCCTTTCTTGTCGTCAGCGCTCCCCAAGGCGAGACGTGTTGAGAGTAGGGAATCACTGCTCTAGTGAGAGGATGCAGACGAACCCCGGTGCCCATGTCTGTCTCCCACCTAGCTTCATTAAACCAATAAATCAACAAAACACACTAACGCACCACTATGTTTGTTGTGAATGTGACGTTTGATCTTGCTGGGAAATGGAGCAGAATATGTGCAGTGAGGACAGCTGAAACAAATAATAGGCAATATTAAAACCTCGAAAAAAGGCATATTCAGCGGAGCTCACCGATATTTGTTTGCTGAATCACGTGTACGCCGCTTAGCGTCCTCTGCGAGAATTGCTTTTCTCTCCTTGGTACCAACTTTGGGCAGAACACGACGGGGCTGGCTGACTTCTTTGAGTCTGACTACTCCGTATCGTTGCTTAATAAAATAAATTAATCTCTGTTGTAAGACTATTAGATTGTGGAACAGCCCAATCCCACTTCCCCAACAAATTGGAAGGAATCTGTAATACTAACCTGTGCACGAGATGTTAAGTGACCCAGTGTTCTTCGAATTTGCTTCCTTTTCTTCTGAGCCATTTGACTGGTCTGCATCAGCTCTTGTGTTCTTTCGCCCAACGATGTCTGAGCTGTTCCTCGAGATCTCAGGGGAGGTCTGCCGTGATGATTGTCGGGAAACCCTTTCCGGCGATGATATTGAGTCACTTGAGACCACACCACTTGAGTGCGGCTGGAGCAAGTGTACTTTCGCACGCGTGGCTGACATCAGTACTACAAGTGTTACAAGAAGACGGTGCTGCGTCAGGACGTTTACAACACCTTTGGCCATTCTGCGCAAGTCCGAAGCCAATGTCATTACAATTCGGATCTTCAAATGGACATCCCTTGATAGGTGAGTTCGGCCATGATCGATTCACACTAGTGCTCTTCTTCTGAAAATAGCAATACATTTCAGAGCGGATCGAATACAACCTAAAAAGGGCTCACATTTCCCTTCATTCGGCCCGGAGTGGTAACGTCGTCCACAGAAGAACTTGGTGCAATCTCGGAATACTTTGACTGCAACACATCACACGAACTGCTTCGCCTAGTATTCTTCCAAACTGGGGAGTCTAGAACAACCAATGGGTCACTAAATGAAGGGGTGCTTTTATTGGAGCCAAATGACAATGTCATGATGACGAAATATCTCCAGTACAGTGCAATATTGCATTCCACAAAATTTGACGAGGTACTGCGGATTTTACACCCCTTTGCAGTCTCAATGCATGAATGTGGCAGAAAAATGTGGCGAGGGATGGACGTTCCGCATTTGAAGGTTCCTAGAGGTCATGTTCGAAACTGACCAAATTAAAAAAGAAATAAAGTTGCCTGTAATGACATTGTAGGACCATCAGAACGAAAATTAGGGAGAAAAGCCAAAAACGACGAAAAGTCGCTTCTGTTGCAACCCAGCACGGAATTTCATAGAAAGACCCCCACTCAAGAAGTACGGCAACCATGGCAAATGCCACCAACCTATTGCGAGTCGCCGTTATTCGTGCATCTCCTTACCATTTCAACTTCTGTTCACTATTCAGCCGTAGCAATAATCAGTGACTCTGATAATCAAGGAATGAGGAGCGGTCGGCGTTGTGGAAAGGGGATTAGAGTTCCGGAGCAGCTCTTGCCCGGGTCACCCAGGCTTTCTACCTTCAACCAGTTTCCCTTGGAAAGACATTGAGACCGACCAAACTGCACTTTCCACTGCATAGGCCATATCAGCAAGCGGTTACGATTCTGAACGTGCCGCATTCCCAAAAGGATTCGCTAAGGACGATAGTTTTTATTACTTGAGAAATATGTTTGTCAAAACCGGAAACGCACTCTTCAGCTTCAAAGCATGAGGGAAGCCCCACGGATTCAAATGACCTGTTACTTGGTGACCGCGTGATGCACATAGAGCAGAACGTGGCCTGCAATGAAATCAGAAAGCAAAAAGCTGCTTCACTGGTCGAAGGGTTAGCACGCTAGCCACGAGAGCGTGCGGTCCAGGTTCTAATTCTAGTAAGGGTCAGGCGGTTTTACTATGGCTCAGAACCCTCGTGATAACACAAGAACAAGGTAAAATTCTGTACAATACTCACCAGAATCATGACGCTTTTTCCGCCGCTCTTTCTTTCTGTTCTCCTGCGTTACCCTCATTCTGAACAGAGTTGATATGTGTATCAGAAAACCCTATATTAGGTTGATGCATAAGTTCTTTTCCCCGACTTTTTTGTAAATATCTCAATAGCGAACCAGCCTGAAGATTAGAGGTATGCACCATCACCATCCACTACTCGACGCCAACGCTCAGGCAGCTTGTCGATTCCAGTCCCAGAAGGACGGGGGCTGGGACCCGAAGAAGGCCACAATGCCGCACAATCACCACTGTGACATGGTTTTGCACTGGTAATTGTGCGGCATTGTAGCCTGCAAATGCAGGGTGGGTGAGTGATAGCTAGTGTGGTGAAAGAGTATCATGTACACGTCACGCACACGTGATGACGAAATACCAACATCCATGCAAACGAAATACGGAAGGATCAAAACAGGGGGCCAGAAACATATGCATCAACCTAATACTACGATCATCAGCCGGTCAAACTGGAAACATGTGGTAGCGCTTGATACAACGCATTTGTAGGTAAGTCTTTCTCAAACTTTTTTTTGCAATAGTTTATTTCTGAACATCAGAATGGATACTATTTTACAACATAAGAAAACTAAGCAAAGCGGAAAACGATTGACAATTCATGAAAACTAGTCAACAAGAAACTTGGAAAATCAACAACAACTACAACTAGCGACAATAGTTACACATTGAGCACTTGTAAGGAGTCTGCTGGAAGTATCACAGTTGTACACGGTTTTGGTACCATCAGCAAGCATCAGTCCTCATCCGGGGGCAATAACGCGAACTCCGATTCATCACCCACCTGGAAACAATTTTCATATGACCTCACAACAAAGTGGAAATTGCTTTTTCCAAGGCTAAAATTTTCCGGTGCAACTCCAGTGAGGTGGACCATCTTCGGCATAATTCTCACCGCGTCTAGAACCAGAATAAATGTTTTATTTTGCTATTGCGAATAAAAGAAAATACGATGGGTGAACCACTGTCAAGACCTTACTTCGCCACTGAGGAGACTCGGCGACCCGGCCTTTTGGCCTATCGAGCGATTTGAGAAAATCAGCCTTTTTTGCGATTCCATGTCAAGGAAGTGGATGAGTATTGATGGCCGCCAGTCGCTAGCGGTCGCGGAAATTGGTGACCTGGCGCATCGACATGCATCCACTCCCTTGTGCGCTGTCGCTCGAAACGCCGGTGTCTCCCAAATCGCAGGAGGGCTCAATCTCTCAGAACGTCAGATAGCCGAATATCTTGAAACGCCGCATCGCTTATTCTCTGAGAACGCTGAATCGAGAAATCTCCTTAATTGCTGGCAGCCGGCACCAACTGATTTCCATCGACTATTTTGGCAGCAAACGCTGAATCTCCTCACAAGGGAAGGATACCAACTCGTCCTGGCCATTCAGAATGAGATGTATACTCCTAGAAGCGTCTTCGGACGCTGATATCAAATCTGGCTTCCAAATCTGCTAAACGATTCTAGGTGAGGAGTTACGGACCTTTTTTGGCTTACTGTGTGCTTAACATTGGGTGCGGCCGCCTGCTTATGGCTTCGCGCTTGGTAAACCCTTTCGTGCCCAACATGCCCATCGTGGCCGGTGGCGCAGTGGGTAAGTGGGTGGACTCACAGTCGTGCGATGGGGGTTCGAGTCCTTGATGCGTTTCGTAGTTTTGCTTTTCTTGAAACGTGCGCTCAACACTTGGGAAGTAGTTTTGCATACCTGTCCGACCACCAAGACAACTCCCTGCTCTTTATTGAGCCCCGCGAACGATTTTCGTGAAAAATTACACTTCTACCTAACTCGTTCATGCAAGGGACCAAATACACATGCATATCTGCCTGAAGTACGTGATCTGCGAAATTTCACCATCCTATAAAATGACGTGTGTGGGCAACGAAAGTTTCAACATGTTCGGTAGCTCTAATCACCCACGCACACAATATCAGCCAACACCTCTGCGACCGTGCCTACCATAACTAAAGTAATATTGGGCACTGTTGAACCACTCCTACCCCAGAAAGCTCAAAAAAATTTTATCGCTGAATGTCTACAGATGCAGTTCTATGCCCTGATCACGGTTTTAACCCTCGTTTCGAGCGCTGGCGTCATTTGGCGCCATTATGCACCAATTTGGCGCCCACCACTTTTTTCTCCAAAGTTGATGAAAACTTGCATATGGGGGTTAATTGAGGTCCTGATTAAGAATGTCCCACAGGTTTCCAGCGTTGGCGCGATTTGGCGCCATGATGCGCCAATATGGCGCCAAATTGGCGCATAATGGCGTCCAAATCGCACCAGCGCCTAGCGCGAATGCTGGTTCCGTAATCAGGACCTCAATTAACCCCCATATGCAAGTTTTCATCGACTTTGGTGAAAAAAATGGTGGGCGCCAACTTGGCGCAGAATGGCGCCAAATGACTCCAGCGCTCGAAACGAATGTGATATTCGTGATCTGGGCATCGAATTACACCTATAGGCAGACGTTTCAGCGAAAGGTCATTTTGAGTTTTTCCTGTCGCACGAATTAGTTGCTCAATGTCAAATTACAAGGTTGTCGACACACTGTACTACAACCTTGTAATTGACTGCGGGGAAGATAGCTCGTAGAGGACGACAATACGGATCCTCTCTGATCACGTGTGATGGCGATGAAGAAAGTTCCCTAGGAGCTAGAAGAACAGCTACGTCACTTTGGGGATGTAAAGGGCCCGACCCTTTCGCAGCGACTAGAAGAAAGTTGTACGTCTTTAGTCACCACCCATTGCCCACTTATGGGCTTCACTTTATACAAGTCCATATCAAGTATGCGTGTGGTTTAAGTGAATGAAGCCATTGCCTTCTACCGTTCGAGTGCGAAAAAGTCGCATTAATTACAAAAATATATGAGTTAAATAAAGCTGCCATACCAACGCTATGAAAATGAATGCTTTCACTGAAGTCAAAATGAAACCCCTCTCAAAATTCAACACATAGGTCTAATAAGCCCAGCAGGAGGGTCTGGTGGTCGTACAGGTATGCAAAACTACTTCCCAAGTGTTGAGCGCACGTTTCAAGAAAAAGCAAAACTACGAAACGCATCAAGGACTCGAACCCCCATCGCACGACTGTGAGTCCATCCACTTACCTACTGCGCCACCGAGCCACGGTGGCGGTTGGGTCACGAAGGGTTTACAAGCGCGAAGCATAAGCAGGGGGCGCACCGCAATGGTTAAGCACAGTAGCAAAAAAGGTCCGTAACTCCTCACCCAGAATCGTTTAGCAGATTTGGAAGCCAGATTTGATATCAGCGTCCGAAGACGCTTCTAGGAGTATACATCTCATTCTGAATGGCCAGGACGAGTTGGTATCCTTCCCTTGTCAGTCGCAAAGTATAATGCGACCTAACACTCGTTCAAACCTCCCTCCTCTAAGCTTCAGCTCTAATTTCATCCAGCAAGAACCAGAAAATGCGGAGAAACGAAGCCTGTTGGATCCCGTACTTTTGACAAACTCAGTGCAGCATTGAGATCACTGTGTTCAGCGCGTACAGACCCCCCCCTTACTTTATTCAGGTTGGACTTCCAACTGGAAACATAAGAATAATGATCTCATGCTGTATTTCTATTTCTAGCAACTATCCAGAAGACAACCATTTCCCGGTCAGAAAACAATGTGCTGTAGAGAACACAGAACTATTCTCCATAAGTAGAAAAAAATAACTGCAGAAAATCCAACCATCTCATTTTCTTCCGGCGGCAATAGACCAAACATTTCTGCTGCTTTCTCCCTTTCGTCGTCAGTTTTCAGCCTAACGACTTCTCCTTTAGGAATCTCCGCTAGATCAGCGTTGCTCTCGACATTAGAATCCTGAAGCCACTTCAGGATAATTTTAATGTATATCCTATTTTTAGACTTAAGTAACTACCCAAGTACCTCAGCACACAGCCTCTGTGCTATCCAGTTCGGATCCCTGTGCTTCAGTGCTATCATAGCTTCAACAGCACGACTGAAATTATCTAAGGTGCTGCAGTCAGGTGGAATTCGATGGTCATATACACCATCAATTGAATGAATAAGTGCAGTTAACCGAGAAAAATCTGAAGGAACTGAAAAGAGACAATCAAGGTAGAAATGTGAACATGAAAATTCTGAGGCTCGTTTTTCAAAAAAGCACCTACAGAAGTTCAGGACATGAACTCACTTTCTACTTCAGGAAGTCCTAGCATCGTTAACTGGCTAGGAGATGCTGGGGAATAAGGAAGGCGACAAATGATATATTTATTGAGCGCAGCAGTTCCAGTGCACTCCTAAAAAAATTTAAATCTTTACTTGCAATCAAAACGTATTGCAAATAGGCTTACCCTGATAATCATGTTTATTGCAGGAACGAAGAGATCTGGAAAAGGGCGTCGCTGTCGCAGATTTTGGCCATCCAGCACTAACTGAGAGCACGGTGATACAACTATTAAACACGTGAGATGCTCGACAAATCGAATCAAGAAGCCAACGATATGGACGGATAACTAAATTATTCTAAAATTTCTACTAGAAAAGGATGTTCTAGTGCAATTACACTACTATGGGAGAGAACAATAATGGCTGTCACTTGATCGGGAGGGGAAAGGGGGGGGGCACGGGATAGAGCGACCAGGGAGACAGTCAAGACATTCGCCGCTCTGTCGCGCACGGGGAGGGGGCTTTCTCAGTTTGCATCAGCCTGTCTACTGGAACACCGGATTTCAAGTAGACATCGATATCGTAGATATTTAGGGCTATTTTTGATTATAGACCATTTACGACCTAGAAACTTCGTTATTTGCGAGCGCGACGTCGCACGCGACGCCAAACCAGCGCAGCGAATTACCATCATATTGTCACGTACCCGCGCAACCATCCCTGCCCTTTTCTGCTGGGTCGCACCCTCCCTTCAAGGATCCTTCCTCCAACAGGGAGGCGTGATCTGGTCCTGCTGATCTGTTGGACTGCTTGGTCCCTTTATTCGCGTATTTTCTGCTCATGTCTAGCCTCCTCTATTTAGCATTCTTTTACTTGGTAACCTCGCAACTTTTCACAAACCGTGACTCACCTACGCAGTTCCCCCTCAGAGAAGCAAATACCCTGGTCCACCATATGTTCTTTCGCAACTACATGATCTAGCAGCCGATTTCTCTTAGTGGCCTGCTCCGACCACAGGGTTCGCTACAGGTTCAAATAATAGGACAAACAGTCATGTGACTAAATCTGCCGCCTGAACTCTCCCCGCTGTAGCGCCAAAAATGTGAGTATTAAAATAAGACAGGTATGGAGGCATTGAAGACACAAAAAAATCTAAATGGATGTGGGAACAGACAGACAGACAGACAGACGACACGACAGAAAGAGAGAGAGAGAGAGAGAGAGAGAGAGAGAGAGAGAGAGATGTTACCAACTCATTTGTTCTCAATGAACACTAGACTGATTTTTAACTAGTGAGTGTACCTTTGAAAGAGAGAACTGAAAACCTACCAGCATTACTCATTTCATGATAGTCCAGAAGAACAGTGACCTCTGCATGCTTTTCCAAGACACGGCTCAGAGCAAGTATTACTGCAGAGTGCTCAGCACAATCATCTGGCGTCAGTATAAGGACCAAAGGTTTCACTTGGAGCTCTATTTCTCGCACTTGTACCGGTGCGCGTCGCGTCCGTCGTCGTAAAACGAGTAAGTACAATAGGCTACACGATGCTACACCGAAGAGCATACCTGAAATAATACCTCCTCAGGTTTTTTTTTTTCATCGAAGCAACTTATCTCAAACGACTCCTATTTCTTGTGCACGCAGACGGAAGAGAAACAGCATAACTTTTTATCCTAACTTCGATTAGCTGTTTAGGTCAACAGTTTTGTTCGCTGCGGATCATGGGGTGTGTCAGACGGGATGGGTTGTGCGGCGCCAAACACATTTTCTAACAGTATTAGAAGCCAACAGCAACAATACTATGTATATCAATCATATCGCTCGTGTCAGCCATTTCTCATATCGCTCGTGTCAGCCAACTGCTATCGCTTACCCCTTCGACATTTGCGGTACACTAGTAACACCCGTTACTTCTTTCTTCTTCATAATCATTTCATGGCTCAAGGAGCTTGTTATCGCGAAGCCTCCCTCCTTATTGTTTTCTTTCTCCTTCTCTCCTTATCTTCTCTCTCTCTTTCTCTCTCTCTCCCTCTCTCTCACTCCATTTTTCTTCTCC